TCATGTGAGCTGCTTTGATTATTGGTGCCTTTGAAGTGCTCACGTCTTGTCTCCAGGTGGCTAGAGCTGTTACTAGGTATGTGAGCCCAGGAGTCCATTTACTTTTCTTGTGTGGATTCAGCTCAGGTGTCCAGGTTGTCAGTCACCGAGCGTGTGGTGCAGGCTCTCACCTACAGCTGTACACGGTCAGGGGTGGTTGGAGTAGTCACAAGTATCTGGCTGCAGTAGGGGGTCATGTGCTGATCAAGGCAGGGGACTGACTGCTGCCCCTGAGTGTCTGGGTGGAAGGCATGTCCCTGTTCCCTAGAGCACGTAGGTAGGTGTATTTTGCAGCCAGACTATGGGCACCCAGTGCTGTTGGTTGTAAGGACTGGGAGTCACCACTTATTCTTGGACCCCTGTGCTGGGTGGCTCGGTGGAGTGGGTGGCGCCACCAGTCCTCAGGCCCCTGATGTGGGTAGGTAAGGACCCTGTTTAATGGACAGGGTGGTGTCAAATGTCAGGAATCAGCCACTCCCTCTTAGCTGTTGCAGTTGAAAATAGGCTTCAGGTATGTACCCTGTTGTAGTGTGCTAATGAGGGCCTATGCTGTTGAAATGAGCCCACATAGTTCTAGGCAGGGGTGAAAGGCATTCAGAGTCCGTGGACCCCTTATGCCTGTTCCTAGGCAAAGGGGCTGTGCCTGCCATGAGTTCCCAGCTTACAGGAGCTGGCAGATTATTTTTTCCTGTTTGTTAATTTGTTCTGTCTCCAAAGCTGGGAGAATGGCTCCGGCGCTTGATGGGTCCCACTTCCGGCCCAGGGGGTACGGCAATCACTGAATCCGGACCAAGACCAGAGTAGAGTGGGGAGGGGGCCCGTAAATGGGAGAAAGTTACTTCCCAGAGGGGGGAACAGTTTTTTTTTTATCACACACAGTAGGTTAGGTGCTTGCACTTGACTTTCACAGATTCGGTGCCTCTTCTCCCTGGTTCCAGAGGCTGGAGCAGACTGTCTGCCACTCAGTTTCTCCAAGTATGGAAAACGCATTCTGAGCACTACTGCTTGCTTCAGCCCATGTGCGCCAGCTGATCCAGCCTGCAGGGTGCCAGCCAGGTCAGGTCTGGCAAATCCTTGCTGCTTCTGAACTGTGTCTCTCTCCCGTCACTCAGTCCAACTCCTCAGCTTTGTCTTTGATGTTCAGGGCTCCTAGATTGTCGTATATAATCAATTCACTTGCTTTTTTGGGCCTTTGTTGTCAGAGGGACAAGCATCAGACTGCTCCGCCACCTTGGCCCTGCCTCCCTGACTTCACTTCTTCTGAGTATATACCTAGGAGTGGAATTGCTGGGTCATATGGTAATTCTGTGTTTAACTTTTTGAGAAACCGCCAGACTGTTTTCCACAATGGCTGTAACATTTTACATTCCCACCAGCAATGGATAATGGTTTCAGTTTCTCCACAATCACATCAGCACCTATTGTTTTCTTTTTTCTTTTAATCATTGCCATTCTAATGAGGGTGAGGTGTTATCTCTTGGTTTTGATTTGCATCTCTCTAATGGCTAATGAGGAACCCTGGTGGTGCAGTGTTTAAGCGCTTGGCTGCTAACTGAAAGGTCTGCAGTTTGAACCTACCAGCTGCTCCACAGAAGAAAGATGTAGCAGTCTGCTTACATAAAGATTACAACCTTGTAAACCCTATGGGGCAGTTCTATTCTGTCCTATAGGGTCACTATGAGTCAGAATCGACTTGGTGGCAGTGGGTTTAATGACTAATGAGGTTGAGCATCTTTTCTTGCGCATGTTGGACATTTGACTTTCCTCTTTGGTGTACTGTACTGTACTTTGGTGTGATTTTGCCCATTTTTTGATTGAGTTGTTTGTCTTTAAGTTGTAGAAGTTGTTTTTTTTTTTTTTTTTAAATATATTTTGGATATTAGGCCCTTATTGGATATATGGTAGATATATGGTTCCCAAAAATTTTCTCCCAATCTGTAGGTATCTTTTCACTTTTTTTGATAAAGTCCTTTGATAAAAGTTCATTCTGCACTGTTAACTCTAGCTTTTGTGAATTTTTTCAGGTCAACTTTTGTGAGCAGAAAAAGAATAAATTATTTTATGATTATTATCAAACTAATACATTTCACTTCGTTGTTGTCGTTGTTCAAACATTGCTTTTTCCTTACCATGCTTACTGAAAGCTTTTCACTAGGCAAGGACCATGTGCTTTCTATTCCAGAAAAGGATGTGGAAGGACTGAGGCAGAGTTGGGATATACCTGTATATCTCTTTTCTTTGATTATGTGTTGTCTTAGTTATCTAGTGCCACTATAACAGAAATACCACAAATGAGTATCTTTAACAGATTTTTTTTTCTTACAGTTTAAGAGGCTGTTATTAGTTGTTAGGTGCCGTCGAGTCAGTTCCCACTCATAGCGACCCTATATACAATAGAACGAAACACTAGGAGGCTAGAAGTCTAAATTCAGGGCACCTGCTCTAAAGGAAGGCTTTCTGTCTCTGTCAGATCTGGGGGAAGGTCCTTGTCTCTTTTCAGCTTCTGTTGCTTGGTTCCTTAGTGATCTTCAAGTGTCCTGACATCTGTCTTCCTCCATCTGTGCTTTCTTGCTTCTGTGACTTGTCTGCTCCTTTTATAGGTCAAAAGTGAATAGTTTAAGACACACCCTACGCTGATATGGACTCATTAACATAACAAAGAAAACACTATTCCCTAGTGGGATCACATCCACAGGTATGTTGTTAGGTGCCCTGAGTCAGTTCCCACTTATAGCGACCCTATATGCAACAGAAGGAAACATTGCCCGGTCCTGCACCAGCCTCACAGTCGTTGCTGCGTTTGAGCCCATTGTTGCAGCCACTGTGTCAGTCCATCTCCTTGAGGGTCTTCCTCTTTTTCATGACCCTCTGCATTACCGAACATGATGTCCTTCTCCAGGGACTGGTCCCTCATGATAACATGTCCAATGTACATGAGACGAAGTCTTACCATTCTCACTTCTAATGAGCATTCTGGCTGTACTTCTTCCAAGACAGATTTATTCATTCTTCTGACAGTCCATGGTATATTTGATATTCTTCGCCAACACCATATTTCAGAGGAACCAACTTTTCTTTGGTCTGCCTTATTCATTGTCCAGCTTTCACATGCATACAAAGTGATTGAAAATACCATGGCTTGAGTCAGGTGTACCTTAGTTCTCAGTGACATCTTTGCGTTTTAACACTTTAAAGAGATCTTTTGCAGCATATTTGCCTAATGCAATAATACATTGTTTGATTTCTTGACTGCTGCTTCCATGGGTGTTGATTGTGGATCCAAGTAAAATGAAATCCTTGACAACTTCAATCTTTTCTCCATTTATCATGATGTTGCTTTATGGTCCAGTTGTGAGGATTTTTGTTTTCTTTATGTTGAGGTGTAATCCATACTGAAGGCTGTAGTCTTTGAACTTCATCAGTAAGTGCTTCGAGTCTTCTTCAGTTTCAGCAAGCAAGGTTGTGTCATCTGTGTATTGCAGGTTGTTAGTCTTCCTCCAATCGTGATGCCCTGTTCTTCATATAGTCCAGCTTCTCTGATTATTTGTTCATCATACAGATTGAATAAGTATGGTGAAAGAATACACCCGTGATGCACACATTTCCTGATTTTAAGCCACACAGTAGCCCCTTGTTCTGTTTGAATGATTGCCTGTTGGTGTACATACAGAACCCTCATGAACACAATTAAGTGTTCTGGAATTCCCATTCTTCGCAATGTTATCCATAATTTATTATGAGCCACACAGTCGAATGCCTTTGGATAGTCAATAAAACAGATAAACTTTTCTCTGGTATACTCTGCTTTCAGCCAAGATACATCTGACATCAGCAGTGATATCCCTCGTTCCATGTCCTCTTCCGAATCCAGCTTGAATTTCTGGCAATTCCCTGTCGATGTACTGCTGAAACCGTTTTTGAATGATCTTCAGCAAAATTTGACTTGAATGTGATACTAATGATATTGTTCGATAATTTCTGTATTCTTTTGCTTCACCTTTCTTTGGAATGGGCACAAATATGGATCTCTTCCAGTCAGTTGGTTGGCCAGGTAGCTGTCTTCCAAATTTCTTGGCATAGACGAGTGAGCACTTCTAGCCTTGCATCTGTTTGTTGAAACATCTCGGTTGGTATCCTGTCAATTCCTGGAGCCTTGTTTTTTGCCAGTGTCTTCAGTGCAGCTTGGACTTCTTCTTTCAGTACCATCGTTCTTGATCATATGCTGCTTCCTGAAATGGTTGAACGTCGACAAAGTCTTTTTGGTAGACAGTGATTCTGTATATTCCTTCCATCAGCTTTTAATGCTCCCTTCTATGTTCAATATTTTGCCCACAGAATCCTTCAAAATTGCAAGTTGAATTTTTTCTTCAGTTCTTTCAGCTTGAGAAATGCTGAGCGTGTTCTTCTCTTTTGGTTTTCTAATTCCAGGTCTTTGCACATGTCATTATAATACTTTACTTTGACTTCTGGAGCTTCCCTTTGAAATCTTCTGTTCAACTCTTTTGCTTCATCATTTCTTCCATTCACTTTAGCTACTCTAAGTTCAAGAGCAAGTTTCAGAGTCTCTTCTGGCATCCATTTTGTTCTTTTCTTTCTTTCCTTTCTTTTTAATGATCTTTTGCTTTCTTCATGTATAATGTCCTTGATGTCATCCCATAACTCATCTGGTCTTCAGGCATTATTGTTCAGTGCGTCAAACCTATTCTTGAGATGGTCTCTAAATTCACGAGTATAGGGATTAGGATTTACCACATGTATTTTGGAGGAACGTAATTCAATCTATAACATATATGAATCTAAGAAATTCTAAAAATGCTTTTGATTGTTTTGAAGAATGCCATATCCTGCTGTTGTTGTTAGATGCTGTTTAGTTGGTTCTAACTTATAGCAACCCTATGTATAACAGAACTTCTGTGCTCCACCTTTATTTATGAGTGAGTAGTTTGTATGTCTCTTTACAGACTGTGTAAGTCCCAGGTGACTGAGACAGCCGGATTCCTTCTGCAGACGCTGGTGCATCTCTTTATAGGTGCTCAACCTGACATCGTATCTTATGAAATCTTTGCTGGAGACAGATTTTAATACCATAGTGAAAGCTGTACATGGAGGATTGATGCCTGTTGGGAAAAAAATAAATAGCTACCTTCAGGAGCCCCCAAATCACAACTTTGTATGAACAAGGCAATAACCTAAGCATGGCTGCCCCTGGAAACAGAAATCATTCTTGTGGATCTCCATTGGATCCTGAGGCTCTCGTCAGACATGAGGGCACCTTTACCACCTGGGAATGACAATTTCCTGAAAGGCACCAGACAATCAGCATTCAGTAACTGACCAGGATCCTGAAGCTGTGAGTACAGGGGCATCTCCTGATGTTTGTGCTAGAAGAACAAAGCTTGGGTGACTGTACAACTTAAGAACTATGAAGAAGTGTTGTAATCCTGGTGGATAACTGGATCCAGATATTCAAAAAGGAAGGTGAATGTACTGAAAAATGAGAAGCATGAACTCCTCCTTGTATATTGAAAGGATCTCTTGGAGTAGAAAAGAGGCAAATCTTTGGAGTTTGAGTTTGGGAGTGAATTTATCCCGTGGGGATAAAGAGTAAGAATAGGGCCTCAACCTAAGTTCTCTGCATTGTATCATCTCAGTGGTTCTCATTGCACTTACAATCCTTTGGAGACTTTAGAATTTAAAATGCTGTTGCCCAGATACCGCCCTAGACCAATTAAATCCAAATCTCTGGAAGTGGGGGCTGAGCACTGTCACCTTTTAAAAACTTCCCCAGTGTATAGCCGGGGCTGGAAACCACTGAATACTTTTGATCTTCCCATATGCCACAGTAAGTCCTGCATTGAATTCCCCACTAGAGCAACAGGAGTGTCACAGTTAAGTCATCCAGCCTTTAAGTTTATGTCTTAGCGGGCTTCTCTCTAACTGTCTCAACTCAAAGCAAAAGCTCCAAGGTTTAGACTCAGTTCTAATATCCTGTGCTGACAAGATGCTTCTTTTCTCTTCTCTCCAGTATGCCTCCTCAGAATGCTGTACTTTCCCAGGGGGAGAATGTGAAGGAGAAAGAAATGGATGATGGGACACAGATAGTCAGGTCCCAGGTAAGTTCCATTTTCCTCTCCTCTGAAATGCTATTCTAGTTCTCAGGATGCAGGCATTTTTATTTTTCAGTTCTCAGAAGTGCTCCTCCCCAAAAACCCAATCCATGGTGCTGACGTCCATTTACTTTTGCCCAGGAAACTCTTATGACAGATGATAACCTCTACAGGATGTTCTCCGTTTGCCTTATATACCCCTTTACAGCTCTTCCTCTTCCCAACATTTTCACCAGATCATGGACTCATATCTGTGCTAGATGTTGTGAAAAAAACAAAGGAAGAAACAGACAATTTTTAAATCAGCCTTCACTTAAATAGCTCACCAGAGTTTAAACAATTCTCTCTGTAAACATAATGAATGATGCCCAGGTCACTATGAATGCTTGGAGCTAATGGGATTATTAAATATGCCTGAGGACATCTGCTGCCACATATCAATGCTTACAAAGATTCTGTTGTATTTCTTCTAAAACCTGTTTAAGCCTGTTATACCTGTTATTATAATTCTGTAAATTGATTAAACATTATGTGAACTGATGAGATATGAAAATTGTTTGAAAGCTTTGGAAAGACTCAGTAAATGCCAGTCCCTTAAAAACAGTGCTGTCAAAGTATGTGTGAGTAGAACATTGACGGAAAAATCATAAAAAGCTCAGAGAGTCCAACCATATATTACTTCCCAAGTGTCAGTGTGTTCTTGTTCTACTGTAATGAAACAAAACCTGATGCATGAGGGGTATGGTTTATGCAGAAAATACAAAAGAGAGCTCAGTCATTAAAATCATTCTCATCAGAAAGGTTTGGCTCCACATCAAAAGATGAATGAATTAATATATATTTGTATGTTTTAAATTAAAATAAAATGTTTAAGGTTTGTATATATTACCTTGTATGGATCTCCACTTTAAGCAACATTTTGCTTAGAATACCAGACACTAGTCTCAACTGCTTCAGATAGGAGGGCTTCTGTTGGTCCAAATTATGTGAGATAATCATTATCCTCAAGGAGCAAGTAAACTCATTGGAAGGGATTTTAAGAAAATATAATTTTGAATGCTGCTATGTATGCAAAAGATAACAAATACAACAGGTGCTCACAGAAAGAAGAAATCCAATTAAGGCCAGAGGGATGAGGAAAACTTCATGAAGGAAATAGAAGACTTCATGAATTTATGCTGATACAGGGTCAGGTTTGTAGATTAGAGAAGACACGGAGCCATTGCACACAGGAAATACAATTTGAGCAAGAGCAGGGACAATAAAGATATTATCAGTTGGAGATGAGCATTTGGTATGTTAGTGCTTTAGGATCTTTTAGTTACAAAGAATAGATTCATTCAGTTTCCTCTTAATTGTAAGGCTCCCCACAGACAGGAATAGAAAGCCACGAAGAGCCAAGGTGGCATATCTGCTTATCAGCATGCTAGCCAGAGGAGTTCGTTTTAATTTTCTGTAACCATTTATTATGTTTAAGATGGAACATCATTTATTCATTCAGATATTTTTTTGAACAGCCAATGTGAGCCAGAAGTTGTGCTCATGCTTGACATCAGCTATACGTCAGTGAGCAAAACAGACGTGCTCCTAAACTCAGGGCACTTACAGTCTAGCAGAGACAGGCATTCTGCAAATATGCTTATAAATTGCAATTTGAGGTTTTTTACTTACAAGATATAAATAACAAGGCGTTATGTATGAGGATTACAGGTCCTTAGGTGGTGCAAGAGGTTTGCACTCAACTGCTAACCTAAAGATTAGAGGTTCAAACCCACCCTGTGGTGCCTCAGATGAAAAGCCTTCCGTAAAGAGTACAACCAAGAAAACCCTACGGAGAAGCTCTACTCTGTAATACGTGGGGTCGCCACGAGTTGGAATCAACTTGATGGCAACTAACAACATGAATGAGGATTAGGGACTCATGGAAGAACTCTCTGGGGAAGCAAAATTTAAACTGAGATGTGAAGGATATGTAGGAGTTACAAAAAAGTAAGCGGAAAAGAGCATTCTAGGCATGTGCTGACAATCATGTGCAAAAGCCATGAGCATATTTGAGAAATTAAAAGGTCACTGTGGCTGGAGTAGAGAGAGAGTGACTTTAGATGCACTTGGAGAAGTCAACTGGGCTAAATATACAGGGCCTTGTGACCATGAAAAGGAGTTCCAGTTTTAAGTAGGAAAGTAACATCAGTCATCTAATTCCACTTTTCAAAATCACCCTGGTGCTATGTGATAAGTAAATTTGTAAGAGGCAATGATGGAAGGAGGGGAGAAGCAGTTAGGAAGCTATTGCAGTATCCTATGTAATAGAAAATAGTAGCTGAAAACTAGGAGGTGAAAAATAAATAAATAAACAACAACAACAAAAAACTAGGACTTGGAAAAAATAAGTGTATTTGAGTGCTTTGGAAAACAACAAAGATTAAATAGTTGGGTAAAGGCAAAGGAAGAAACAGATGATTTTTAAAATGATAGGTTAGCAGTTAATTTTTTGACAGTGGCTGTAGTTATCTGGAGCTGCGTTCGTGGTTCAGTGGTAGAATTTTTGCCTTCCATGCGGAAGACTGTGTTTGATTCTTGGCCTGTACATCTCATGCACAGCCACCACCTGTCACTGGAGGCTTGTGTGTTGCTATGATGCTGAATAGTGATCCTCACCCTTTGACATTTTTTTCTCCCTTGGAACTGGATAAATCCTGCTCTCCATGTTTTCCAGTTCCTAAACTGCTTAGCATTTTGGAGTTATAACTGTGCTTTCTGGACCTCACTCTCAGTAGAGCTTCCAGATTATGACAGACTAGGAAGAAAGGCCGGACAATATATTTTAAAAATTAGCCTGGAAAACCCCATGGATCACAATGGTGCGATCCGTAACCATCATGGGGTTAGCACAGGACTGGGCAGCGTTTCATTCCATTGTGCGTGGGGTCACCATGAATTGGGGGCATCCATGGTGATTATATTTTTCAGTCCTCTAATTTCCTTAATTCTATACTTCTGTACTCCAGCTTAGCTATCAACAAGCATGAATGTACTTTGAAACACCGTTGTTTAGCACTCTGAGATCTTGAACTCTACAGTTCCTCTGTCTGACTAGTCTCCTCCCTTTTCACCTCTGCTATTCGCAACAAACGTGTTCTTTATCTTCATAGTGATCTCTAGTTCTTAGTTCTCTGTACCTTAGATGTACCAGGCCATCATTTCATGTACCTTGCCTGGACATTTTCAGTAACTCATTTGATAGATTTCCTCACCCTTTGCCATTTTATTATCCCTTGGAACTGGATAAATCCCACTCTCCATGTTTTCCAATTCCTAAACTGCTTACCGTTTTGGAGTTACAGCTGTGCTTTCTGGACCTCGCTCTAACCCTGCTCCCTAGCTGGCACTCACTGGTGCTGAGCAACCCTTTCGTTTATCTCACTTGGGGTTCAAATTGCTCCCCATGGCCATTCCTAACTTTGATGTTTCCAAATTCCCAATCCCAACACATTTTGACAAAGCCATTCAATATGAACTTCATCCATCGTCTTTCTCTTTTCTTCAAACCTCTGTGTATTTATTATACTTTTCTTCCTGGATAAGAAAAGTATTATTCATTGGGGGCCCTGATAGTTTATGCTAATGGAGCCTAGATAGTTTGTGCTGAGGAGATGATGCAGGATGGGGGCTGGCAATGCTAGAAAGACTTACCTTGGGATTAGAGGTTTGGAGCTTTGAGCCAGGTAATATCAGCCCAACCTCCAGGGAGGGACAGCAGCTGGAGATTGAGTTCAGTCCTGTGGACACAGATTCACTCAGTCATGGTTATGTCATGAAACCGCAGTAAAAACTCTGGACGATGAAGCTCAGGTGAGTTTCCCTGTTTAGCAATATTCTGCATATTGTCACACATCAGTGTGCCAGGAGGGTGACACATCCTGACTCCAGGAGAAGAGGATAACAGAAGCTTGGTGTTTGGGATCCTCCCAGACCTTGCACTGTGCATCTCTCCCTTTGGCTGGTTCTAATTTGTATCCTTTTGCTATAATAAAACTGTAATTGTAACTATAGTGCTTTCCAGGGGGTAGTGGGAACCTCCAGATTTGTAGCTGGATGGTCAGAAGTGAGGGTGGCCTGAGGACCCCCAAACTTGTCTAAAGTGAGAGCAGTCTTGTGGAGGACTGTGCCTTCAGACTGTGGCGTCTGGCCTAACTCGTTGTAACCCTGATTCTTAGAAGAAGTGTCCTGCCCATGGTCCCATCACCTTAGACCTCCTTCGGATTTGCTTTCTCAGTTACCCCCTCCTATACACCCACAGTAGTTTTTTGTCTTCTTCATGGGCTCCTTTTCAGGCCTCTTTGGTCTTAAAAAGAAACCTTGTACCTTATTTTCCTTTTCAAGTGAGCACTAGCTCTTCCTGTTGACTAGTAAACTTCTTGAAAGATTGGTCAACACTTCTGCTTTTTCTCCACTTATATTTTAACTTTTAGTAGTCTAGATTTCCTAGAATTTAGTGGTCAGCATCATAGTTTGGAAAAGATACAGATTAGAAGGAAGGTCTTATACAAGTGCCTGAATAAGAGGTAATGGGGTTCTTTAAGGCAGTGCCTGTGGGATTGAGAAGGAAGGGACACACAGAAGATACCAAAGAAGAATATTTTTCTAGCTTTCATGGAGTGAGAGGCGATGGATAAGGGACTGAGAAAGGGCATACCTTACTGGTAGAAAGAAAGAAGAGAAGACCAGAGAGGAAGAGACATGACTAGGCTAGAGAAAGCAGAACAGCATAAACTGATGGGAAAGAGGTCCGTCACTTTTCAACCACTTATAACTCCTAGTCCCCATTTCCAGCCTCTTCTTTCATTACCTCCAAAATTTCTGACCCAGCACATAAAAGAGCTGACATCCATATAACGCTTCCCCAACACCTTTCCTGTCCTTGGAATTATCATGAGTTAACTCATCCTAGCCTTACTAATAACACATTTCCAGGCATCTGCCTGCCAACTGATCTTTCTGGCAGA